TTCTCTCAAATTGTCCGGAAAGCTCAAGGAATCAGTTCAGATATCCCTGTGGCCTTTACTTTCCTGCTAGTCACTGCATTTTTTACAGGAGTCTGTTTCCAGTCCCACTGTGTCCCCAAATGTGACTGTCCTGAAATTCAGAGAGATTCAAATCAATGCTATGATCTGAACAGATATACGATGTACCTCTGCTGTTATGCTTAATTAACTTAGAACATTCTAGGCTTTCTCTGCAAGCATCAGTCTTCCTTTCTCCCATGGATACTGTGAAGTCCCGCAGTGAGCCTTGTTGTTATGACCTAATTTTTCTACAAACTGAGAGATTTAATTTGTTCAGGTACCAGGCAAAGGGACCACAAACTTGTAATTCTCCTGGCTACTCTAATTTAGCTGCCTGAGATTTGAAAAATCAATAGGGGAATTATCTTGCTGTCTCTAGATTGTAACTTAATAATTAAAACATAATTAAAAGGATGACATCAGTTTATTTAGGAAAACTGGCTTTTTCTGTGGGTCCACTCCAGAACTTGCATCCTGCTGAGTTGAGACAGTGGAGCTGGCATTGAAAGTGCTGCTGTCACTGTTTAGTTCCAAAACTAACTGAATAACTCTTGAAAACAATATTAATTCCTAACTGCATTTTCAGATGATTGTGATATTTTACTAATCGGCCCTTTTCAGGTTCACTATTATTAACACTTACGAATCAGTAGTTTCTTCAGAGAATCCAGTGTGGTCCAACAAACACCTCTCAGGAAGTTAACGGTAATTATATATACAAGCTTTATAGACATATATACACGTATGTATGCCCATCATATATATAATACTGCTGTATGCGAAGCCTTGTGTCATCAGTAAATCTGAGGAACTTCTCACTGAAATTATGTCGGCAAGTACAATTAATATATGACAAAGTACACAGTCTGATAATTCATTCATTGGCGGTAGGAGAATTTCATATTTAACATCTTAGTGCTTCCTAGATGAACCGTGAACATCCTTAATGAATACTGTCCACTTCAGACCATTCTGACTTAATATTTAATACCACCTTCCTCACCATTACACTGCCTTCTAAGAATCCTGTCACAAGAATGCCCTTGCCGGACCTGACAAAATACAAATACATAAATTCCTGCAAGTCTGCACAAGTGACAAATAGTTAGCAGTTCATTATCTCACAAATGCTTCATCACTTGCACAGTTTGTGAATCACTCTCATTGTATCCCATAGTTATATTCAATCAAATAACGTACAAACGTAAGACCACAGATCTACCCACATCTTGAGTCAAGCTGAAAGTATAACTGAAAAATACACCATTTGATACTTCTATATGCATTATGTAATGTGGACTAAATGATAATTGTATGTCTAAAAAACCAAGTAACTTCATAGAAAGCCAGACTGCCAAATGCACTGAATGTGCATTAAATGAAATATTTAAAAGTATTTAATTGGCAGATGAGCAAAATACAGGAGAATGAACAACTGCCTTGAATGAATCAGCTGGCCAAAGCTGTTGTCCCATGAGGGACCATGCATTTTGAAAAATTGTATGTTAAGGAAAATCCAAGGTACTTTATTCTGAAAGTCGGAGGCTCTCCAGGAACTTTCTATTTTCGTTTATTTTGAGGACCCCAAACGCATGATACTGACATAATTTATTCCTTGGTTGATTGCCTAACTAGTATGTTACAATTCAACCCAAATGCTGCCTTTCAATGAACAACAGCCATTCTTGACATTCTCAACATTCCCTTGACAAAATGATCATCTATGAAATTAATCTCTTTCACGCTACTTTTTTCCTCAACCTCCCCCCGGTTAATTGTTAACTAGTAAAACCTCTGCTGGTTCACATAAATGACAGCTGAAATGACTTGGTGTAACACTTCTGTGGTGCTCAAATAACTTGAAAAATTATTTCCCTGTATTTTGTCTGGACGATTCCATTCCTTTTCAATGGCCCACCTTTGTTCAGGTCAACGTGCTGACGAGGGTTTTCCACTAGGACTGTTAGAGACTTAACTGTTGTTACTTCCATTTCCTATTGAAAGACCTAAATGAAAAGTTTACACGTGTTCAGCTTGCTTTTCCTAACAGAAAATAGGAACAAATTACCAGGGAATGAAATGGAGTATTTCAATTTATGCTCCCTAGTGAAGATGTTGCCAAAATTGTATAATACTACAGTGCTTTCAAGGAAACCCGATTAGAGACTGCCCTGGTAAGAGTAGCTGGCAGCACAGCTCAGCCCATGTGTTTGCATAACATTTGTTACTACGCACATCATTATAAATGGACCAGACTTTGCCCTCTTATCTGCATCTATGCCTCTCATAGGAACAGTGAAAGAAACTAATTTGTGAGCAGTATTTGACCCTTGGAGAACTACATGCATCTGCTTAAGGCCATTTTTCCACATAAAAACACTTTTCAGCAAAATGATTTAGCATGTGTTTAATTTTAATGATTTGGCTTAAGTGTCTTTTTGAGTGCTTTATCAAGCTACAGCAATCATCAGCTGCTTAATAAATATTGGATTAAAGTCTGTAAAGGGAGCTAACACATGTATCAGAAAGACAAAAATGAAAGAACATTGCCAGACACTAAGCTTTTCTCTTTGCAGTGCACTACTGTGTTCTTTGGGCTGAAGGACGTTTTCCAATGATGCTGGAAATTGCAACACCAATATTATTTTTGACAATAGAAAAGTGTAACAGGGACTGTAATTCTGGCAGTTTTCTGGACGTATGCAGTGAAACCTCCACAGAATTTAATGCTCTTAGAGAAAACTATGGAAACAAAACTATTAGCCCCAAATACACATTAATAGTAGTTGGAATCCAGCAATATTTTTGGGTAGGCGCTGAAGTGAAAAATCTGGGCTTTGAATTGTTAGGCATTTGACATGCCAGGATATTAGTAGAATAAATGTTCACTAACACATAGCAATAAATAAGTTGGATTTTTAAAATTATCACAACAGAAGCAGAGAAGGTAACAAATAAAAACTTAGGTTTTTTAAAGCATTGCCACATGTCAATATATTGGTTCATTACAAACAACTTAAAACGGTTGTTTTCCAGCGCACAATTAAAAAACCCTCAAGCGGTAAGGAAATTCTTCTGGCACAGCACTGACTACAGTAAGTGCCACCAATGGTGTCCTGTTGATTTACATATCCTTAAAATTTTGAATAGCCCTGCCCAGCTGGATTGCTGTGCTTAATTTCCATCACACTGGGCCTCTGGGCTCGCTTCCTCTCAAAACGCAGTGGTGCTGAACCTTCCTGTGGTCCCCACCGCCCACCACTTGGGTGTAGAATCTGTCTGCTAGCCTCCGAGACCTCAACACTCAGATACCTTCCGCTCCCAGGAGCAGGACCAACCCTCCCAGATTTTTCAGTGAAATACAGCCTTTCCAAGCTATTCAGCAAAGTCAGAGCAAACGCTCAGATTTGAAAAAAATACCACCAGGCTTTGATAACTCTCCTTTGTTTAAGTTTTGAGTGATACGTAACATAGCCCTAAAAGCAAATTGCTGACTCCGTATCCAACGAGACATGCGGTGATTTATCAGTTTCATAACCTCAACCACAATTCATATGATGTACTGCAAAGATCCCTGAGCAGCATTCAACAGATTCATTTTTCCTTTCATCCTCACAGCCACCCCACACATTTGTTGTTCTTCCTTCCTGTATCTAGAAAAAAAACCTTGTGACCAACTGAAGACAGTCTGAAGTTTTAAAGTTTAAATAATTAATTGATAACATTTATATATAATCTGCATAACCTGAGATGATTTGTAGTACAAGTATGACTGGGTTTTTTTTTCAAGTACAGGGTCAGCTCAGACTCCTTGCACTTGCACACTGTCTCAGCTTATACTCCAAGTGCAAAGCTTAGCACGACTTTGGGATCACGAGGGAGGAAGGCTTGTAGCCATGCTTACCCTCACCTGAGGCATACAGTGCAGGCAGAACAGGGGTGCTGCACCCAGTTCTGTACTGCCCTCCCACAGCCAGGAGGGCACAGCAGCCACGAGACCCATCCCAAGGCACTGACATAGCCTGCCTTCCGAACAGAATGGATTTGTAGGTAGCTTAACCCTATGGTGGCCTTTTATCAGTGCATCTGTTTTAAAGGCACTCAACAATACGTATCTGATCTCCGGTGCTACTGTATAAACATGGCTCTGATCTGGGAAACATTGTGAGCTTTAACGCACCCTTTGTCCCATGTCACTACAGTGTATGGCTTGTGTATTGGATCTAAAGGCTCACGTAGTCATCAAACAGCACTGCAGTGTAGTTATTAAAAACCACTGTTTACCAACAACCTAACAGTAGTTCTACGTTAGAGTGCAGGCTCAACTTTGTCTGCTTGAAATTCCCAGTACTGAAAATATTAAATGAAGCTATTGTTTCCATCCGTAGAAATTGGAAAATAATAAAAGAGTTTTTCTTTCACTTTCCTTCCCTTAGAAAACTTAAAAACCAGAAGTTAAAGACAGGGCAATATCCAGTCTGTCATTATTGACACGAACTACACTCATATTTTTTGGTTCGTGTAACTGTGGTTACTCTAGTTCACAGGGACACATTTATAGATGTATGTATACACGTGATCCACAACTTCCCATGAGGTATGATTTCTCCTCCAACATAATGTTAGAAGTGTAAAAAGAACAATTTAATTGCAAGAATAGCTTGAATATCCATTAAAGAGAGTTTTAAGCATTTTGCTTTATTATTGCTCTTCTGAGTATCAAGATAAACATACAATATTTTGATATATGCATTATGCTTTGCTCAAACACAAACTGATACAGCTACAACTGAGAACTTTAAATTGGCAACATTTCAGTCGTGACAGTTACACTTATGTAAAATTGGTTAGTGCTATGTTTGATATTAAATATCAACAAGTAATATTAGTTTAACAAGTAGAACTACATCACTGTCTCTAAAAATACTGCCATAGTAGGACTATTCACATGGGTTCTGAATAACGATCAGGAGATACTCCTTATCTGCAAAAAGATATAAAAATGTTTAGTTAAAATGTTTTATCTTATTTCCTGATAAATACTCTTTATTCATCTATTCCTCTCCAACTTTTTATCTGTTTATAAAGCATAAGTAAAAGCAATGGCATTTATATAAAAAACATTTAGAAAATGTAAGCACTTTGTACAAAAATCTGAGATTACAGATAAAAAAAAAATCTGTGTCATAAAGCTTAACTATACCATATTAAAACTATTTTAGTAAGCAGTCGATTTGCTTTCAAGAAGCTGTAAAGATATTTAAACAAGATGAAAAAAGTCACAAGATAAGCACCTGGAAGCTAGCACTTGTTATAATAAAATACTTTTGACATCTGCAGCCTCTTCTGCAGGTGCAGAGAACTTCTTTCAGTTCACTAACTAGTTTATTCAAAATTGAGAACCCCATTTAGATGTGAAAAAAGCAGAAAAGATTTGAATAGACTTCTACCATGAATAAATTCTAAGCATGCCAGATTTCGCCTACTAATTCTATAAGCCCCGGGAAGTTTTGGAAACAATTCTGTTGGATAGCTCTTTAACATTATCTATTTTAAATGGAGCATTTCTTGAAAGTATCCAGTGAATTTAGTAGGGTCATATCTGCTTTGGAGTGTTAAGAAGCTGCACTCCTGCATTGTCACTTTCATCCAAAAGCAACTTAATATAATTTACAGGTGGTTCATTTGCCACCTTCTATTATAGTAAAATACAATCAAGCCTTTGAACAAATAATCTCCCTGTTAGCAGAAAAACTTCACATTTTATACCACTTATTTTCAGGTCAACATACTTTAATGGTTACTAGTCAAAAAAAGTAAGTTTTACTCTTTTCTAAAAAGTAAGTGAAGGGCAAATGCAAAATGAGAATCAAGTGCATCAGTTTAAATCAATGAGCAAAAAACATGTTTTAAAAAATGCAAAATAGAAACTAAACTAAAATTTTAATCTTACTATCAGCTGCTGACTAATGTTTACACTTAACGAGAGTGCCAGATTTCTTTTACACATGCTGGTTTCATAGCAGCATTATAAATAATTCCAGCGAGGCGAGGTAGTGCATACCTAGTGCAGTACCTCTGCTCTACATCTGCTACAAAATCAGCATCAGAGGACTACCCCAGTGAAGGCTGTCCATCACTACAAGCTCAGAGCCAACGTCCTCCCCAGTGGCTGTGCTGAGGAGATCCCCGAAGCTTCCTTTCTGTTCTGCATGCCTTCATTGGATATTTCTGTCAAAATCCTGCATACCATTAGTCTCTCAATTAGCTAGCACACACATTAGGATCTCAGCCCCAACCAATCACTTCCACTTTGCCTGATTCACCTTGTACTGGTAATTGACCACAGCTTCGCCACAGCTCAGCTGGCCTTGTTATCTATTTTAGAGATACAACTAACAAATCAACATATATTTCTATTTAACATGAGTGGGAAGCAGGTTGCTATATTCCCCTGGTTGTTTTAAGGAAAATAATTACATCACAGTTACTATGTTGGTGATAATACTGCACATCTGTGACACAAATCCCACCATGATAACATGCCAAGTAAAAACTAATTTTTAGAAACAGAAGATTTTTTGCATCTGTTTAGAGCTAAAATGGATTTGCTGCCTTTAATGCTATATACACACACACAATTTGATATATATATTTGTCCGGTTTTCCTTTGTGAAAACCCACAGAAACCAGATCATTAATCAGATCTAGACTTGTTTAGTTGCCTCCAAGCTCTGTACATTAAAATCCTAACACATCTGGTTACACAGTGAATATATGGTTATATTTTCATATACGTATTTTCAAAATGCATTTTCTACAGTAGTCTTATTTGTGAAGAATTAAAAGAAACTTAAAAGGACATACAATTCTATTGTTATTTTAATAGAAATGTTACCTGGAGCTACCATAATTTCGTGTTTCTTTGATCTGATCCTAAGAAAGGTTAGATCATTCTGAGGGTCAATATCTCTCACTGTGCTCCTAGCTTTCATGATAAGCTGATGAAGAAGACCTGCATACTGGACTGTTGTAGAGTTATCAAGAGTTGTTCTTATTGGAATTCCTGCAAACAAATAATTTTCTAATAATCATTCAGTTAAGTTGCATATTCTTCATATACAGCAGATAAGAGAAAAAACAAGGATTTCATAGTTTTTTCTGTTTTGTAGCAGAAAGGACTTATGTTGATTTCAGGTGTCTACATGCTTTTTAAAAAGTATAATTTATATTAATCAGTGGAAATTAAACATTGAGTTGCCTTATGAAACTTACGAAAGAGCCTAACTGCTGTTTAAGGCTCTTAAATACCTATCAAATTCCATTCTGTCGTACTTAACCAGTTATGGTGCTTCATCAGTTTAAACACTGTCACCGAGCTTGTAAGAATCTAACCCATACCTTAGCTGTAGCACTTGGTGTGTGCCGTAATAGAAACGACACATTCCCAGTGAAATACCAAGAGCAATCAAAGGGCCGAAGTGGCATGTTTGCATTCAGCAAGCAAACCCACTCTTGGAACAATCCCTTCCAGTTAGCGGCAAAATATTGACAATTGCTAGTACACAGTGTATTGATCCCAAAAATATAACCATGTAAGTCAAGATTAATTTCTGATGATTTAATGAATCATTGTTTATCAATGATTTGTCAAATCATGCTTTTTATATTAATAGGCTACCAGGTGAAACTAAAAACAGGGTTCACAGTAATCCTGCAAGTGTAAAACTGTTTGGCTTTAATAAGATTGTTTCACTAATAAAAAATTTATTTGACCTACTAACAAAGACAATAAATTACAAGCTGGCAAGGCAATTTTCTCTTTGCATACATTTATATTGCGTCTTCCAGATGGACAGGATAGGAATACAAAACCAGAGTAACATGACTTAAGTGGAAGAGTTTGATTATGAAAGAAGAATTAACATGCAAAAATAGTGAATGCCAGGTAAAGAATTAGAGGCAAAGGAGTAAAAGAAATAATAGAACCACCTCAGATATTAGACTATTCCATAATTTTCCTAGGAAAGCGTTATTTGAATAACTTGAAATCTGTGTCGTCATCGAGAAATAATTCTGCACTGGTAGGATGTGTAGTGTAGGGAAGTGTACAGAATGACCCAGTACATCCTTTGTGTCTAATGTTTATTACACAGAGATTGGAACTGATGTTTTAATGGAAACAAATAGGTGTTCCCAAGCACTGCATTAGCATGAGAATATCTATATAATCACAGCATTAAATAGTAAGTCACTTAAAAGCAGGAACAAATTAGTGTCAAGTTTATATGACCTTGTATCTAAATGATTGCTTCAACAAATACAGCACTTCTAATGAAAATGGTAAATGTTAAATGATCCTCCAAGGTCTAATAATAACATGAAAATGAGTTGACACTAGTGACATCCTTAGATTAAAGCTGAGCCATGCTTACTTTAGGACAAATTTGCTTTGCCTCTGCCACCCAAATTAGAAAAAGCAAATAAATCCTTCATTAGAAATTCTGTAGTGTGATCCTTCTCAACTGTAAAGGATAGCAACAAGTTTATGAGATTTTTCCAAATAAATAAAGTACACTTAGAGTAGTGTTTCAATGAACAAATCAACTTCGAGCATTAAAATAAATGACAGGCAATGTTTGTATCAGGAATCTACTTTGCTATTTCACCTGCATACTATTACAAAAACCTTACTAAAAGACAACTGTTTACATTAGTGAAGAACGGAGGGTTTCATCTTTCTAGGGAACCTGCACAGCCTAAGAAACCTCACTACTGCACCACTGGTTTGAGTATTTTTACTGTGCTTGATTTAAGTCGTACATTTGTTTTAAATGTTTCAGGATAGAGAGAAATTAAATTTAATTTTCTACAGAAAGATTTGAAGTAATTAGATCAATCAGAGCTAATTATGGATATTTGGAGATGTTACAAAAACTTGCAACTACACACCTACTTTGAGGTTTAGTTTGTGGAATCTATCTTTTTGGTACCTTGAATACATCCTCACAGACTACAGACTCTCTTGCATTCACATCTGGCATCTGGTGTCAAAACATTTATAATGATAAACTAAAACCAGAATTCCTGCACTAGTCTTGTCCGTCGGCTTCAGTCTGGCCACATGTTCTACAGGTTTGTGAGGATGAGGAAGTTTGAACAGGACATGGGGGGACTTTATACCTTGCCATGAGTGGTCTAATGTGCAATAAAGGGACGTGGAACGTTCTTCCTCCTTTGCAAATCAAAACTGAGACAGAAGGAATCCAAAACAGCCTTTTAAAAAGAACGCTATTGTCCTAACTCTGCACAGCTATATCTGAGCTTTCCCTCAATACTGTAGAACTACCACAGGTAAAGATGGACTGCAGTAGTACACCCGAGTGGGAAAGCATACTTGACCAATATTGTGCCAAGAAGTCAACCGTTCCAAGTAACAGAACATAAGTAAACTGGGTTATTTTTCTATGAGATTACATTGGTGTTTTTGCCTTGAGAAATGTATTAGTCTGCAAGCTCAAAAAGGATCATTTGTGTTACCTAAGTGCTTGATTTTGTTCACTTCTCGTTTGCAGCTTAGTCTAAGTGCTCATTGGATCAAGTCACTTTCTATTTACTGAAACAGAATACAGAAATGGCTGAAACAGTACTTGTTCTGAAACCAGACTGCATTTCAGCTTAGTGAACAGCCATATCTAGACATGAGCACGTGCAGGCACAAAGCAGCTTTTCAGTTTCTATTTGCCAGGCTATGCACTTCTCTCTTGACCTGCATCATCTAGTCTGTGAACAAAGGCACATTTTACTGAACATGTCCAGGCACACAAATTAAATTGTTCACATTTACTAAAGACTAAATAACATTTAGGCTTCCTTTTTAGTATTCTTGCCTCCCGTTGCTAAACTGCTGCTAGTGCAATAGATTTTTGGGGGGATTGTAAAAGTGAAGGAGGTCAACTAAATTAGGGGCAAGGTAAATTGAGTGAGTTGTCTTTTTTGTAAAGGAATGATTAAAACAGATTAAGCTGAGAAGCCTAGCTTCTGAAAACTGATTTCTGTAACCAGCTTCACTTTTGTCTTGCAGTCTTCAGGGTCACAGCCAAAGCTGGCCTGACATGAAACTTGCTCTTTCTCCTAGGACAACACACCGTAACACAGTTTAAAGAACTTGTGAATATTTAGCGGGGCCAAGGAATGGCTCTCACAGTAGAAGACCAACTTTGTTTAGTAGATACTTTTCTCCTGATGTTTTTGTTCTGTCATAAATTCTCAGAGGAAGAGGGGGAGAGTGAAGTGCTAGTGAATTTTCTTGCATGTACGAAGAATTTTGGACTAAAAAATGCCTGCAGAAGCAACAGCTTAGTGCCATGCTTTCTCCCTTTCTGTCACCTACCAAGAGATGTTCAAGATCTCGTTCTGAAAAATAAAGTCTAGTTTAGTTAAACAAGGGGGATAAGTAACAACATGGAACTCCTTAAGTTAAATGAAGATTATGGTACTTCTAGTTATTTCTTCAGAGAAGACTTATGACAAGGCTCTGCTTTCTATTTTTCTGCTTTCTGTTAACTTGAATGAAAAACTACATCATATGGAGAGCTTCAAGAAATGGCCAGAAACCAAATGTTCATATGTCTTAAGATGAAACACACATTCTTGAAAATCACAACACCTTCATAAAACATCACAAGCAGATTGTGTTAACACCTCATAATCTGCAATTTTGCGCTTAGGAGTTACTACGCTCATTGCTGCTACCAAGTTTGTTACTTGGAGAAAGCAGAGGACGTTTTACCTTCGGCGTTTACAACAATAGTTGCGATAACCCCTTTGTGGGCTTGAATCCTCTTTAGGGTTTCCTCCACTTCAGCCTGCGAGGAGAGAGGACACCACAGCACCCCCG